CCCAAAACCCAAAACCCAAAACCCCGCAGTGTCGTAGGTGGACCTGAGCAGTCTGCTCTTCTTCACCGGGGTGCTCATGGCAGTGGCTTCCCTCGAGTCTGCCGAGGCTTGGGGAGTAGAGTGGCCTTGAGGAAGCTCTTCAGTTTAAGGGTTTAGGGTTTAGGGTTGAAGGATCTTGAGTTGAAGGGGGTTGTAAAACTTGGGGTTCTGGCCTCGGGGGGTTTTCGGAGTCTGAGGGCGTCTTCCTCGATGTCTGAACGGCAAAGCCTGGTGGCAGGTGCTGCACCGGTACTCTGAGTTCATGGAGGAGCCCTCCCTGCAAATGGCCACAGTGCACGCGGTTCAACTTAAGACTGGGGCCCCGGGTGTGGCCTGGCCACGACCCATGACGCCTGGGTTGAATCTCAAACCAGCATCCCCAGATATGGGGCCGGTACAGCAAAGTTTCATGTGAACGGCCACGGGGATTACAGGCATGACCTGAGTGTGCCTCCGCCGCTAGACTCAAAAGCTGTCTTCCAAACTAAGGCTGTGAACCCTCGCATCCCCAACAGTCCGAGACTCTCCACAAAATACACTTATTCAAAAAGGAAAAAAGAAAGAGGCAGAGATGGACAGATGGATAAAGGGTTAGATGGCTACATTGATGGTTGACTGGATAGGTGGGCACACACACACATATATATATANNACACACACATAGAGACAGATAGATAGCCGACAGCTAGGTGGATATGGACAGATATATCGACATCCATACCTCATGTCTGAACGCACATACATACCTGCATGCACACGTACATATATACATACGTGCATGCATATACATGCACACATGCAGATACAGTCCATATACACATATGGGGTTTCCGAAAAGAGGGGACCCTAGTATAGTACCCTAACCAGTAGGATCCTTATTATAAGGGCCCCAAAATAAGGTACCCCTTATTTTCGGAAGCTCCCATATGTTACATAATCCGTTTCTCAAACCCCGAGGACTTCACTCATGGCAGCCCTCTGGCCCTGACCTCGCTCCTGGGTGTCAGCTCAGCCGTGGTGGACAACGTCCCCCTTGTGCAGGCTCCCGGCTTTGCCCCTCAAAACACGGTTCTCCGTAACTCTTTATGCTTATCCATGAACTCACGAATTCAGTAGAAAGAGTAGGAGTCTTGTTGTTGTGGGTGGTGGTGCTGGCGGCCACCAGCATCGACCAACCACGTCGGCTGTAGCATTGCATGTGGAAGTGCGTGCTAGGCGGCTCCCGCTGTGCGATCAGCCCGGTTCATTGCCATTTTGCTGCTAGCATGCTGGAAGAGCAAGATGCCAGTTTCTACTTCCAGGGTCAGCATGCCGTTCCTCCAGGCAAGCATACAGATGTTCAAAGAGCCCATGGACGATCCCCTTTGGCAGCTCGTGGCCTTGGCAGCGGGCACAGGTGGATCGATGTGCTTTGGCCGAAAAGGCTATGGAGGGCTTGGGAGCAAGGCTTGGGGGTGTTGTTGAACATATGCTATGGTAACTTATCTGTCCCAGATCGAGATCCCGAACCACAAATCCGAAGCCATGAGGCCTCAAGCCTAAACCTGTGGCAAGCTGCTATAACATTCGTGTATGTACGTGTTGCCGGTTCGTTTGTTGACGACGCCACCTCGGGTCTTCTGGTTCATTCCGGTTTCTCGGGGCTATGAGGCTGATGTTTGCTTGGTTCACTGCTCTGTGACATACGTTTGCAAGCTCTTGTCGGCTGAGGTTGGCCGTGGGATCCGTGGCAGGCCAAACCGAGCTGTGTGCTGATGCCCATGTGTGCAGGGTCGAAGAAGTCTTGTTGGGCGTCTGTCGAAGTCTTTGTGTTCCTAGCAACTGGCAAACCCGAAAGAGCCTCTGGGCTTTGCAAGTTCTGCAAGAAAATAGAAATGAGTATATATATATATATACATACACCTATATATGTACATCTATATATATATATATAGAGTATATGATATTGACCCAGCCTTCTGAGAGGTTTGTCAAGGGGTAACTAAGTCAACATGTCCTGTCTTGTGAGGGCAGTCTTTCTCCAGGACAAGCTTCGAAGCCTTCCTCAAAGACATTGAAGCCCCAGGTTGAAAATCCGAAACCTTCAAGAACTTGCAAGAGCCCTAAGCCCTAAACCGTAAACCCCTAAACCCTAAACCCTATAGAGGTGTGACGCTGATGGGTCTCGAGGGTGTTGGCTTCCTTTGGTACACCCGGCGGATTACCCCCTGGGCGGCCTTGGGATTCATCGCGGGCATGGGCGCCTTGGCACGAGCTTACTGTCATGAGAGGCACTATAGGGGCCATAATAATTACCTGTACTGTTTTGGGGGTTCCTCATAATGAGACTAGTATAAATTTCTGGTGAGTTTGTGAAGGGCTTCTTAGGACTTTGGAATGAAGTGCGAGTGCATAGGAGGAGTGTTATGGCTGCAGGAGGCGGAGCGGCAAGGTTTTTGCCCACCGAATACCGACCCTGTCCGTCGATCTGCATTTCCAGCTCTCTGTGCTTTGATGTGTAGGGTAGGCATCCAGGATTTTGCAATGTTAGCTAACACAGGGTTGTTTGTGTGCTCTATGGTTTATAATGGAAACAGCCGTTTTGGTTTCGTCCAGGCTCCTATGAGCTGCAACGGATGCTGATGCCGTGAAACAGCGTCAGCTCTTTATCGAGTGTCTGCTCCTCAGCTCAATATCAAAAGGCCGTAGTTCTGCAGTGTCAGGGCTTCAGTCTACCTTCGCGCACGGGGAGTGCCTCCGAACAGGCAACGCAAGTTTACTGTAAGAGTCCCGCAAAGGCTCACTTGACCAAGTTTACTGTAAGGGCCCCGCAAAGGTTCACTTGACTTCCAGAGCCGGTTTGCTTTCCAGCCGGGGAGCATGGGGAACCCTGACACGAGTGCACTGCAAAAGGAACCATTCTAGCAACGATAAATGATAGCAGTTATCAGTGTTATCACTCTTGCTCAGATAATCAAAGATGCAGTGAAGTTTCTGTCTCTCTCCCTCACTCTTGTGTGGGTGTGTCTTTGCGAGTCGCTGGACTGCTGTGCAGCTTGATATCGAAATACTAGTGCAAGGCATTGGCGTACACGACAATATCGATAATAAGAATAACAATAGCAATAATAATAACAATAATAATGATTACAATAATATCAATAATAATAATAAGAACAATGATAATGATAATAATATTTGTAATAGTAACACGACAATATCGCGAAGTGTCTTGTCTGGCCCGTCTGATGGACAGGAGCTACTGCAGCGAACCGCCGGCAGCTCCCGCACATCTAGTGAATCTAGTGTAAAGCTTGTGTAAAGCAACGGCGAATTGCCGTACACGTTGGGCTCCGGGCAGAGCCTACGACAGATTCATTTTCGCATATCGGATGGAGATCAGCTAGTATCCACGCCTCGGAGACTTTTGCCCGAATTCAGTCTTCAGGATGTTCCTTGAGCTGGCCGTGGTCTGCGCATTGCATGAAGTGTTAGAAGGATTGAAAAACCGGGTTTGGGGTTTAGGGTTTAGGGGTTTAGGGTTTAGGGTATAGAAAGCTCGAAACTAGACGAAGGGGTTTGCTTGAGAAGCGTGGTTCATGAAGGCGGCAGAGTATCTGGAGACATAGCCAGGCGGTGTCAACACTGGGCCGTTCGTCTTCAGGTAGAGGGAGCATCGTCACCGAAGTCGCGATCTATGGTTTTGCAAAGCCAGCCGAGCATCAAACTTATGCATTGCCTTCTGAAGGAAGTTTCAAAACTTCGGGACAGAAGAAGAGGTGCAGGCCGTGGCCAGAAGCCAGCTGCCTTCGGAGACCGGACGCTGGTGGTTTAGCCCAGTCCGGACTCCAACCTATGCAGAATAGGCAGAGGTTCGCCGCAGAAGTGGCGAAGGCAGCGCAGCATGTTCATTCCGCACAAGGGCAGCCATCAAGAATTCAATGATGTGTCCGGAAGTGTTCCGAAGAAGATGAAGCAGTGATGAAGTCGACCTTGCCTACCGATGCCTCTTAGACGGCTGCGTCATGTGATACCAAGCACCGGCTTGGGGGACGACCGTCCCAGCGAGTCCGCACTGTTTCTCCACCCCTAAGGAGGCACTTTTCGGGCCTTGAGTCTCAAGGTCAGAGAAGCTGCTGGGTGGAGAAGTGCGGCATGTTTTGTTTAACCTGGCAGAGAAGAACGAAGGTAAAGGGGCCTTTCTGTGGCGGCGTCGGATCCTCCGAAATGCAAATCTCGAAACCTGAAGCCCTATTGAATCCTAAACCCCAGCATAGCACTCTTGTCTGCCAGGAGGTCTTTTCGCTGCTGAGAAGTAGCAGTGAATTCGGCAAAGCCAGGAGCCTTGAGATTGCAAAGGGTTTGCAGGCTGCCTGCTGAAAGTTGCGAGACGTGCAGTGCATGACCGCAAGAAGCAACCCAACAGCTGAAGGGCTGTGCAATTTTTTGGGCGACAGACTGCGAAGAAAGCTGAAGACCATGTAGATGCTTCAGGGAGCCGACACAGTTCTGAAGTTAGGGGTACTCGTAGCCACAGAAGCGAAAGCTAGAAGCACCCGAGCACATGACATAGCCACAACCATGGTCATCAACACCATCACCATCATAATCGGTAGCACACATCATCACCTCCCCTTGCATGTCCTTGTCTTCATCGTCAGTATCATCGCCAACCCCGAAGCAGCACCAGCACCGTGAGCGGTGTCATCATGACTGCCCGCGTCACTACAATCATGTCCACTATCCGCCTCTTCCTCTTCTTCCTCATCGTCTTCGTAATCCTCATCATGGTGCTCATCATCATATTGGTTGGCATCGCCGCAGTCATCATCATGAAGATTATCGCCATCACCACATCATTATCATCAGCGTCGCCGTCGTCATCACCATCATCATCATCCTCACCGCTGCAGCCGCTGCAGTTTCCGCTGCCACTCTGCCACCTGCGCGGCCAGCACCACCAACAAAAGGAAAAGCAACAGCGGCCGTGTCTTGACCTAACCAAGATTTGCAACATCCTCAGCAGTAGAATCAGTAGAAGCATAGGCATAGTGGTTGTAGCAATGTGGAAAGCAAGATTGGGATTCTGTCATGCGTGTTCGCGGACTGTCGCACAGGACACGCCCGACGGTCCACTGTGTGCCTCTTGTTGTCGTGCAATACTTGCCGGTGAAGCTCCAAAAGAAAAAGTAAACTGCGAGCGACGGGGGGAAGCTGATGCCTTACTGCTTGTGGGCATTGCAGAGCATGGACAATCCAAAGTACATTGACTTGGTCGAAGGTCCTCTCATTTCACGAGTGCCTCTGGTAGATCTGGGCTGCATCAGTGGACTCGACTTTGGGCTACCTGCCGAGGTATGGAACCCCTATGTGGAGAGGGTTCCCATTTTCAGATTGAAAGGCCTGGGAGGACAGTTGTGGCGCTGGATTGGTTCAATGATTTCGGGGTCTCCTTGCAGCTGCTATGCGGTCGGTTGGCCTTCGTCTGCACTTTTACGGCGGATAAGCCTGTTTGCGATACCAGTCAGCATGTGTCCCAAACAGCGAGTGCAGCAGCATTCATCGCATGAGCGAAAACAGATGAGAAGAATGATCAATGGGAGAACCAATGTGCAGCCCTAAACCCTAAACCCTAAACCCTAAACTGGGTGCAGCTGTCCAGTTAAGCGCCGCCGGACTGCTTCGCCTGCCAACCCCCTTTCTTCATCCTGCATCTTGTCATCACCGGCAAGTACCGCTGTCTGCAGGCCACACTCATGCACTGTGTGGTGTGTCCGTCGTGCCGGGGACGCCACAGATCCTGTCGGCCGATGCCAGCAGCCCCAGCTGTGTTGTATGTATACGAACAGAAGCCATACATGTGTATCCGCAAATACATAAACAATAGCTTCAATAGCCGTCAATAGCCACGTGTATGCCTACATGCACGTACATGCATGCATGCATGCTTGCCATGGATGTGTGCATGCATGTATGCATGCATGCATACATGACTGGCGCTCATGCAAACCATTCATGGCGAAGCTTGACTACTGCCGAGGAGGCCACTGGCAGTAGTAGCAAAGCTGGGAAAACATTGAAACGAGCCTACCAGCGACAGAATCAGCATCAACACCGCTGCTGCCTCATTGCGCCGCTGCTGCAGCTGCTAGTGCTGGTGCTGGTGCTACTGTTGCTGCCACTGAGCTACTGCTGTGCCTTTGCCTTTCAGACAATTGCCGGTTCAGTTTTGTTGATACTGTCTAGGTTTTCGGGGTTCGAGGTTTTGCGGTAGTTGTAGGGTCCTGGGTTGTGCTGCTGGTGTTAGTGATATTTTTGTTGCTGCTGTTGTCGATTGTACCTGCTATGGTTGTGCATGGTGTTCGTGATGACGGCTAGTACCGAGAGTGATCCAGTTTATGGTGATCGTTCTCGTACTGGTAACTGCCATAGTAGTTGCCCCAGCAATAGAGCGATTCTCTTGGCATCATGTCAATCGACCCACAACAGCAGCCGACTGCTTATCGTCGCACCCGAAGCCCTACCTGGGGCCCGAAGACCCAAATCCTCAAAGCACATCAAGCCCCTAATCCCCTAAACCCTAAACCCTAAACCCTAAACCTTAAACCCTAAACCCCAAACCTGAAACCCCCCCCCCCAATTCCCCCCCAAAAAAACCCGACGCCTGCGAAGCTCAGAGCTTCCGCCGAGGTCGCCGGCACCTTCCGCCTCTGGGACATGCGCAGCTTCCGATGTGCGCCGGCTCTCAGCTCCCAGAGCTCCCAGAACTCATAGAAAAGCTTAGTATTGCTAAGGGTTTAGGGTTTAGGGTTTGGGGTTTGGGGTTTCAGAACTCAGCATCTCATAGAAAAGCTTAGTATTGAGGCTTTGGGGTTCTTGATATGTTTAAAACGTAGACTCTACATTTCGATGTCGGCCACATGATGTTATCATGTTGATAGTAGAGTTTTGCTAGCTATTGCTGGAGTTGTTGCTGTTGTTGTTTGATTCAGGGTTTTTTCTGGCGCTTAACGCTCCCTGTCCAGCTGGGAGTTCAAGATTTTGCGGTTGGGGGCTTCGTTCGGTTCGAGGGTTTCATAGTGGTGTAACATGGTGTAAGTGCTCAGACTTGCGGTAAAATTACAGCATCTGTACGTCGTAGTTTTAGGGTTCAGGGCCCTAAACCCTAAACCCTGAACCGTAGGTTTACTGAGACCGGTGAGGTGTATTGGGTGTACTGCAGGGGTTCAGTTTTCTGGCTGAGGTTCGGGCTTTCGGTAGCTGATTGTTCTAGGGGTTCGACTCTCCAGTCATCACGGCTTTATGGTTTTTTGGTGGTTTAGGGATGTAAGTGCTCAGGAGAAGCCAAACAAGGCTATTGCGATTTTTCACTACGCATGCATGCGGTAGATCTGATTAATGACCAGCTGGAGGTTGAAGGCGAGGTTTGGCTGTGAACGCCAATTGCCCCCATTCAGAGCGCTTTCAATCCCGACTTGCCTTTTGTTCCTTATGGTTGTGTTCATCGTCATCATGACCAGCATCATGACCAATGCCGCCCCCCCCACCCCCAATCACCATTCTTACCATCATCGCCTTCGACCACACTGCATTGTGATGGTTCTGTGAGCAACAGGGTAGTTGCGGAGAAGTGCGGTGCCCATCATCATGT